TCTTCAGTTGACTGTGCCAACTGCAGCCTGTCTGGTGTGTTCTTTCTGTCCTGAATAAATATGAAAAATTGAGAGGGAAAGTTTTTTTGTCAAAAACTCATTTTGAGGGATACAAAGATTAAATAGTAGATATTTTCCTGACTTTAGTTCCCTTTTGCTTGACTTTCTCAACAGGAAGGTGTGGGGGGCTTTTCTGATGCTTTAGATCAAACCCTCTCCTTTTTATTACCTTCAGATCCTTTGTTGCTGTTGCTCTTCTGCATTATTTCTTGCTCAGACGCACTTAACGTGTCTTTTATTTTAGTGGAGACTATAGTTGATGTTTATACAGTGGAACAGCTGAAGGAAAAAGCCCTCCAGGGTGATGGGAAAGCTGACCCTGTCTATGGCATTATTTATGGCTACATTTCCACCCTGGACATTGATGATAATGTGTCCAAAGTTATGCGCAACAGATGGTGAGCAACTGCTTCAAATTGTATTAAAAACTGCTTGCCCTCCTTCCCTGACCCAAATGAGATGGAACACTATTTTAGTCCGTTTCTGGAAAAGAAATAAAGCTCCTCTGGAGGATGCCATGTGGATTTCTGCTGGGTAGACTCCCACAAGTAGCAAGGAGGAGGAGTTGGCTCCATGAAGAACTTGCTCTTTCTGGTCCTAGAGCCAAGAAAAAAGAGGCCATTTTGTCCCAGACAGACTTGAAAGTTTAGAAGACGACCAATTTTTTTTTATTTTTTTTTTTTAAGGACAAAGTCTCTTGGGAAATTTCAGCCTAGAAAAACGTTCCAAGCGAGGGGGAATCGCATATGTGCATTAATTACCTTCTCATGTTTCAGCTCGATCTGCCGGCTCGTCGTGAACGAAATGTCAAACGCTTGCACTTTCTGCAGCGACGTCTCTCCAGAGTCAAAGTCAACCTTTGCAAGCTTTGACATCCTCGTGGATGTGACAGATCACACAGGAACTCTCCGCTCCTGCTACCTGTCTGACTGTGTGGCTGAGGAGACCTTAGGCTGCACAGTAAGTAGGGAGGAATTAGGTTGTTATTTGAGCTGTGCTGTGAAGCCTGATAACAATTACAAATGTGTGACAATGGTCTCTCTGCGTGTGTACAAGAGTTTAAAAAATTGCACCTATGTATAGACATACACAGAGCTTTTTAACAAGTCCAAAGTTAGAAGTCAGCAGCTGCTAATAAGAATTGTGTTAAATGTAAGAGTGAACACCCAATCCAAAATATTGCTTCATTTTAATTCACACTTTTCTGAGAATGTGGTTGGAAATCCCTAACTTTGATTCTCAATTTATTCTGGTTAATTTGACTGCCTGGGTACATTATCACACCATGTTAAAACAGAAAAATACAGCTTAGAAGTGTATAAAAATGGTGTAAGATGCTCTTTTCAACATCAGTTTGTTGTGGAGATGTTGTAATCATATGCTGAAGTTTCTGGGGTGTCCTGTTAACAGGTCCATGAATTCCTCATGCTGGAAGACGACCAGAAGACTGCACTGAAATGGCAACTTCTTTTGGAACGAAGCAAGATTTATTTCAAAGTTAGTATTTAATCTTAATTTAAAACAAGGGCTCTTTTTCACTTTTAAGCTTGCCCTTCTTAGCAAAAGTGTTCCTACTCTCCCATCTCCCCCTCCCCTGTCCCTATTTTCAGGACAAAGCAAATGTTTTCCTCAGCAGTGACAGGTACGTAGCATAAATGTGCACTCATACAGGAAACAGTGTAAAATACGGATCCATCTGTCAATCATGCTGTGTGACATCTGAAAATAATCTAGGCCAAGGTGCTGAACAGCAGTGAAAACAAAGACCCCTAATTATTCTTCCAGGTTACTTTGTCACCCAACTGGAGAACCGGGATGAAAGTGAATCTTCTTTCCTGCAAACTGGCAGATCCTGTGGAGGCGACTCAGAGCTTGCTGGGAAGAGACTGGAAATAAGAGGTTATGCTATTAACGATGGGTAGGAAAAACACTTCCTTCCCTGTGCTATTAGAGCTGGAATTCTTTTGTTGCCAGGTTTTGCCAAGTCTGTTCTGATGGTAGAGAAGGAATATGCATTACTGCTACCTGTAAATGGGCTTCTGGGTTGATCTTCTTCAGGTGACTGTACTGCAGAAAGTAACCTGGGCCTCAGCTTAAAAGTTAGTTCTACCAAAGTCAACCCCTTCCAAGGGGGGTGCAAGGTTTCTTCACTCAGCTGAGACCTCTGGAAACATCAGAAATAACAAAGAGGTCAAGATAGATCTGTTGACTTCTGTGTTTTAACTGCCTTGCTACTTTTGTGTTAAATAAATAAAGACCCACTTTGAAACACTGCCTGGGTTTGTGGTGCACCTTGGCGAGTCCAGGCATGGAACTTGCGGCAACAGAAGAGGTGACTCTCTTTGGGGCAGACTAAGGCTTATAAATCAGAGTCATCAACTAGCAGTGCCCTCTGACAAGCAAACCATCAGCTGAGACTGTGAGCAGCACAGAGGAAAGGACACTTCTTTACCAAAGTAGCTGTGCTTCACTGGACATAAAGAACCCAGGTATGTATATTTTGCCTTTCTCCCTGTATTTTTTCCCTATTTTTAATCTATTTTTCCCTATTTTTAATCCTTAGCTTCCCCTGCCATTGATGTGTTTCCTCACCTTCTGAGCACGTTGGGACTCAGCCTGTTTCAGATAGCGGGAGATGCCACAGCCCTCCTCTTGCAAGGGATTTGTTATGCTGGGACACCCTGAGGAACTCGGGTCACCCTCGTGCCCTACCTACCCTTAAAGCAACAGAGCAAACAGCCACAGAAACGGTGAATTCTGACGAGAATCCCCCAGGATTGCATCCCCTTCTCCCACAGGTGGGAACAAGGGACTAAACACCCCAAAAAACGCTGCCAGTGCTGGGTCACTGCACCCCTGTCGTAGCAATAAATGGTTCAACATTTTCCAGCCATAACAGTTCAGATTCTGAAGTGAATGTTTCCAATAATTTAATCCCAGCTCGGCTCTGCTGTCAATGCAGGGCTGGAGACCCAACTGCACATGATGCATTGCTGCTGTCACCGTAACAGGAATGTTTGACAGGCACGAGGAAATGGAAACAGGACAGAAAGTTAATTCCATCCTTCCTCTTCCAGAATTGTTCACTCTGATGTCTGTTTTAACTCTGCAACGTTCTGCTTTCTTTTCACAGTCTGATGTGGAGCACCCTGGACCAGGCAGCTCTCACAGAGGTGCTTGACTTTGGGAGACAGGAATTTTCTCCGTAAAACTCCCCACTTTTAAGAACAAATCTTTTTCCTAGCAATTATTAAGATGTGACTCCAGTAAATGGAAGCATTTAACTTGGTGCTTGCACGTATGTAAAAAACCTATTCCATCTGTTTCTGTCAGAAACCAGTCAGTTCTGTGCAACCCTTGAAAATGCTAAGTTTTGATGTTTGTGTGGGGAGGATTTTTTTAATTATATTTTACAGCTCCCTCTGTCGCTCCATGGAATTGAAAGGGAACTCGCTGTCATGCAAACTGGTGGGGAGTGTTGGATCAGCTGGAGTTTGGGGCTGGGGAAAGTTCCACAGCGTGGCTTTGAGCAGCTGGAAATACTCAAAACCTCCAACTGCTGCACTGCATTGTCAAAGTAACAGCAATTGCTGCAGTTACATTTTTATTAAAATTGGATTGAAATCAGTAAAAGCAAAGACAAGTTTACTGGTGATCTTTACCCAGGAGCCTCTTTATTCTCGATCTTTTGTATTATTTCAATTTTAGAACATATTTAAAGATCAGCTTAGGACAAAACCCATTTACCAAGCATCTGGCACACTTCCTGCTGCATTCGCCCCTTGGAGTGGGAGGAAAAGCCATCCTCATTTAATTTGTACATTTGGAAAATGCAGGAGGAATTGTAAAACTAATCAAAAAAATCAAACATTTTTCTTTTGTAGAACATCCCAAGAAACTTTCTGTGAAGCTGCAGTTCTTGATTTACTGTTACACAGATACCTCCTCCATCACCACTTCTTTTGATCAAAAATTTTTCTTTTTAGGCAATACATTGGCAAAGCTCAAATCATCCCAGGCGAGAAGCACCCACAGCACTTGGGCCACGGAAATGTTTGTTCACCAGATGTTCCCCAAGGAGCCTCGTCCCAGGTAAGCTCCTGGTTTAGGATCGCCGTGTTTGCTGGGCCACCTTAAACCGCATGGAGAGCACATCCCTGATCCCAGCCTCTATCTCATCGTTGGCCTCCACGGACCCAGTTCCTTTGGGGGACCCCGTCAGAATCAAGTCCCCTTCTTCCAGGGTGAATATCTGACTGATGTAGCTGATGAGATAAGGGATGGAGAAGATCATGGACGAGGTGTCCCCCTCCTGCCTCAGCTTTCCGTTCACCTTGAGCCAGATCTGCAGCTTGTGAGGGTCTGGGATCTTCTCCTTGGGCACGAAGTCACTGACCGGGCAAGACGAGCCGAAGCCCTTGGCCAAGGTCCAGGGCAGCCCCTTCTTTTTGCACTCCGCCTGCGTGTCCCTGGCCGTCATGTCCAGGCACAGGGCATATCCCGCCACGTGCTCCATGGCAGCCTCCTGGGACACGGCCTGGGCCCTCCTGCCGATGACCACCCCCAGCTCCACCTCGTGGTGCAGGTCGCGGCAGTAGTAGGGCCGGAGGATGGGCGACCCTTCGCGCACGTAGGCCGAGGAGGGCTTGAGGAAGAAGAGGGGCTCGGCGGGCAGGGCGTTGCCCATCTCCTTGGCGTGCTCCGCATAGTTGCGCCCCACGCACACGATGTTCCTGCCCCACTCCCAGAAGCGGGCCAGGGGTTTGGAGGAGGCCATGGCCGCGGCGCGTCCTCTCCCCGGGGCTGCGCGGCCGCCCTTGGGCTGTCCTTGCCGCTCCGCCGCCGCTCCTCCGCCTCCTCGGCCGGGTCAGCGAACGAGCGGCGGGCGGGCCGGGGGGGCCGGGCGGGCTCAGCGCCGCCCCCGCCGCTCTGCGGGCCGGGCCGGGCCGGGCCGGCTCTGCCGCCGCCTCCCGGCGCCGGGCGGGCAGCGAAGGTAACCGGGCCGGGCGGGGCGCGGCGCACGATGCTCGGCGGGGGCTGGCGGGGGCTCGGCGCCGCCCTGGCAGCCGGGGCCGGCCTGGGGGCCGCCCTGCGAGCCGGTACGTGCGGCGGGGGCAGCCCCGGCGGGGCCGCGGGCGGTGTGCGCTGCTCCGGGCGTTTCGCTCGCGGCTCCCGGCGCGGGCGGTGCTCGGGGGGTGCCGGGTTTGCGCTGACTCACAGCCCCAGGCAGGGCAGGTCCTGCCCGGCCGCAGCCGCGGCTGTTCCGTGCGCGGTTCCCGTCGCGGAGGCCCCGCGGAGGTCCCGGGCTGCGCAGCGCCGGTCAGTGCTCGGGGAGGAGGGCGGGGGTTCGGGGCTGGCGTTCGAGCTGGGCTCCGTGGGTGACAGGTTGTGTTGGCGATGTAAACAGCCCCCAGAACTGCCCCAGCTCTGCGTTTCCATTTCGGGCCTAAATACTGAGAGTGTTTCCCTGCCCTGACGTAGAGCCTGGGCTTGGGCTTCAGAGCCTCTCGGGGAAGGTTTGCCAGAGGCCTTTTGCATCACTCCGGGTTTAAGAACTGGAGAAATGAGCGAGAATCCATCGGGATTCACTGCAGACACAGAAACCCTGCTGCTGTCCTGGGAGCTGTCACACGAGTGCCTGGCAGCTCCCGAGCTCCCTGGGCTTGCAGGGTGGGCAGGCCGAGTGGGACCGGGAGCTGGCCTGGCTCTGGGGACCAGCTCACCTGGTACTGTGAGGAGCCTCAACCCACCGGGTGTGCAAAAAATACCGGCGTGCAGAGTGTGCAGAGTGTGAGTGTGGTGTCTCTTGTGAGGCAGTGCAGGGGTGTGCAGCTGGGTTTGGGCGTGCAGTCGTGTCTAAGTGACAGCCTCGTCTGACACAGGAATTTTCCACTCTTTTATGTAATGAAAAGAGTAACCCAGAGTGCTCTGGAGGAAATGCACGAAGCAGCCCTGTTCCAAGGGAACCTGCTCTGTCAGTCTGCAGCACGTCTGCGTTTTGTGATGACATTGACACTTCAGCTGCAACCCCTTTCCTCTTGGCCACTCCAGCTGTGCTGAGGAGCCGTTCCAGGAAGGCCAAGTGTGTGATTCAGGGGCTGCTGGCTCTGCCCTCCCCGCTGCTCTGCTGCAGGCCTGCAGTCAGGAGGGATGTGGTACAAAAGTGAGCGAAAATGAAGTCACCGGGCGTTAATTTTGGAGCAGAGCTGTGTGTGTGACAGGGAGGCAGTGCTGGGCCAGAGGCTGGGCATCACCTGGGGAACAGCCCTGAGCTGAACCAGCTCTCAGAACGCGTCCTTCTCAGAGCAGGGCACTCCTGCTCTGCTCCGACTGGGCAGGCTGGAAAGGTGCAGCTGAGCTGCAGATGGGAATTCACAAGGAGTGAGTTTCCTTCTTGGTGAATGCTTTCTCATTCCTTTGTTGAAATTACATGTTAGAAAACATTTCCTTATGTGGCGTAGCTTGTTTGTTTGTTTTGTGAGAATTGTGAATTAAACATGCGAAGAGGCTTTGGGACCCTGGCCAAGGTTAGAGATGGTTCACAGGAAAGAAGCATTTTAAGTATCTGAATAATTCCTTTGAGTTGAAGTTAAGGTTGTGTTTTCTTTTGTTTGGTTGTGTTTTTTTCCCCAGTTAGTGTCTGGCATGCAAACAAACACCCAGCTCTGGTGACTGACAGCAGCCAGAAGTGCTCTGTGTTAGGGAGTGGGAATTTTTTTTTCCTACCAAGGAATAGTAAGGGCTTTTTTGTGTTGTTCTTTTTTTGAAAGGAGTCTTCTGCTCCAGAGGAACACTTGGCAGGTATGGATGCTTTCCTGAATACTTCACCATCAGTACCCAGTGCATGCCTCTTCCATCCTGCCTTGGGGTTTTCTCGAGCACGGTGTTTAATTTTAGTGCCATCTCCCCCCTGATTTCCCTTCCCTCATAAGCAGGTGGGATGGTGGAGGTAGAAGGAGGAGAAGCTCTGGGCAGTTGCATCAGAAGTCCCTGCCAGTTGTGGGCTGGGTTTGCAGCAGGAGCAGCTCTCTGGCTCCTGCCAGGGCTGGATCTCGCTTTTCCAGCCCCGTCAGCCCACGGAGGAGCTGCAGGTCTGTGGGGCTCTTCTCCCTGGAGCAGCTCCTATCAGGGCTGGGCAGGCCTGAGCTGCTCTGGGAGAGTGGGGCAGGGAGATACCAGGAGGTGGCCACACAGGGAGCGTTGGGAGCCTCAGGGAGAGTCGGTGGTGCAGAATGGAAGGGGGCTGAGCCAGCACAGCTCAGCCCAGCACAGCCACCTCTGGGGCTGAGCAAACACCTTGCTGGTGTCCAGGCAATGATTCCTGACCTGCAGGGTCTGACTCCTCTGTCCCTGCACGTGTGTGGACCCAGGTCTGAACTGCAGACCCCCAGCAATGGGAGACCTTGTTTTCTTCCTTTCCCTTCCTTTATTTTTTATGGCAGAGCCTCGTAGGGCTTGGTTGCTTCTTTAAGAGCTGCTGATCTGTGCCTTGAACAGTGGAGCCCAGGTTATTTGCCTCTGGAGTTTGCTTCTTGGATCTGATTAAACATTTAACCGAAAGCAAACATTTCCATGTTCCACTGCTGTTGCCTCGGGGTAGCCTGTGAGCAAGAGCCCTGTGTGTGCCTGTTCCCTGGCCAGGCAGGGAGCCCTCCTTCCGTGGGGAGCTTGACTTGTGTCCGTGGCTTGTGCAGGATGTCACCTCCCCAAGTAACAAACCTGATATTTCTGTTGTAGCAAGGCCTGTATTTCTGTATTTCTCCTTCCCCCCTCCCTCATTTTTGTCCTTTGGCTCTAATGTGGCCTTTTGTGATTGTTGGGTTTTTTTTGCAAAGTCACTGTCCCAGGCTGACCTTTGTCCAGCTCTTCCCTCTCTGTTCTGCTTTCCTGCCCCTTGAAACCTCCTCTCTGATCCAAGCACAGTGTTTCCCTTGCATGAGCAAAGTGTCCCATCCTCCTTGGGGACAGCTGAGGGGCACAAGGTGACACTGCTGGGTTCCAAGGTGGTCTCCCTCCTCTGGGATCATGGATTGGGGGTCTTGCTGTGCTCTGTCCCGCTTTTTGGCCCTCCTGGGCTGAGGTGTGGCTGTTTTTGGGGAGCCCAGGTCCAGCCCAGCTGCGAGCTTTCTTTCTGCACACGGAGCACGAGCGGCGCCAGCCCAAGACGGTCCCGCAAGCCGACATGAAGGTGGAAATCCTGCCAGCCCTCACCGACAACTACATGTACCTCCTCATCGATGAGGAAAGCAAGGAGGCTGCCATCGTCGACCCTGTGAACCCCCAGAAGGTAACAGTGCCCTGTGAGCAGAGTGCTCGCTGGGGCTCTGGGATGTCCTTCCAGGTTGCTGCAGCCACGAGGGAATCGCTGACGCGCTGACTCAGGCGTGGGGAAGGGCAGGAAATACTGGCTGTGCAGGGCTCCCAGCCACGCTGCCTCCCCAGCCAGCCTGGCCCTGGCTGCAGGGCTCCCTGACCTCAGCTGGGGTTTGTTTGGCCCTTGCTTTGATGTAGAGCAGAAAAGAGGAAACGGGACTGAGGGCTCAGTCGCTGGCTGGGTCAGAGCCCTCGTGCCCTGCTCTGGAACCCCCTGGGGAGGGATGAGCTCCCTGCAGAGCTGCTGCTGTGCCCTCACAGCTCTGCTGTGTCCAGGTTACTCACTCCAGGGGAGGGGTAACTGCCCTTGTGTGCCCTGTGCCCGCAGGTTCTGGATGCAGTGAAGAAGCACGGCGTGAAGCTGACCACTGTCCTGACCACCCACCACCACTGGTAACCACCCCTGCCCTGGGGTCCCTCGGCACAAACACAGGCAGCCAGGAGCTGCTGCTTTTCTGGCTCAGATGGGTCTGTGAGCAGCAGCTGAGGTGTGAGGAGAAGGGTCAGAGCTCGTTCCCTTGGGCTTGCTTGAGCAGATGCATTGCCCAGACCGTGAGCTCTGTGTGTCGGTGCCTTCAGCCTTTAAAATGCTGATTCCTCCCGGGTGGCCAGTGCAGTACCTGGGTATGAGGTGGCTGTGGCTGTGGGAGGGAGCAACCTGCACTGAGGTGCCAGGGCATGCCCGTGAGGTGTCCTGCTCACAGCCAGCAGCTGGGGGAGGATCCAGGTGCAGATTAACTCTGCCAGGGGTGTAAAGAGGAATGTTTTGCTGTATCAGTGCTGAACCTGAGCAACCTCTGTGGCTGGAGAGCCAAAGAGCCAGCCCTGATCTGGACCAACCAGCAGCACAGGGGAATGCTGAGCTGTTGGATACCTGTGTGCCTGCTCCATGGTGTCCTGTGGGACTCTGGATTACATATCCCACTTATCCCATTCTTTCCCTGCCCTGGTTACTGGAGGGTACTCTCTGAGCCCCTAAGGCTGGTGTTTGCCAACTAGGCAGGAACTTATTCAGGGATTGTTCCTCTCTCTCGCTGCCCTAATTACTGGAGAAATTATCTCCTCTCACATTGACATGGCTTATTCTTTCATGTGAGGAGTGTTAGATACTGGGAGAGTGCCTGATCAGAGGTGATCATCTGGAGATTACCCTTGCAATATAAGTTACCATCAGTTTCCCTTCATTCCCTCCCAAATCCATTTTTCTGATGTTCCAGGGACCATGCTGGAGGAAATGAGAAGCTTGTGAAGATGGAGACGGGGCTGCACGTGTACGGGGGAGACAACAGAGTGGGAGCTCTGACACAGAAAGTGTCCCACCTGACAGCACTCAAGGTAAAGGGAGGGACAGCTCCTGCGGTGTCACAGCTGGACAGGTGTGGTCTGCCCCGAGGCAATACGTGCTCCCAGCTCTCTGACCTTTCAACACCTCTTGGCTGGAGGAGTTGAAGTGCAGCTTTCCCCCTTCTCCAGCCCTGTGCTCTGTGACCCGCCCTGTCTCGCTTTGGCTGCTGAGAGCATTGGCATGGCCCAGGCAGCTGGGACCTGCTGGGTGTGCTGTGCTCCTGGGGGGGTCAGAACAGCCGTGTGACAGGGCAGGGCTTGTGCTCTGCACTGATCAAAGCCGGTGTTCCTGTGGGAACGACGGCTGGAACACGGGCTGAGGGGACAGGGGGCCAGCAGTGCCAGCTGCCTGCGTGGCTTCTCCAGAGCTAAAGCAGCAGGCCTGGCTGGAGCCAGGCTTGGAACCAGGCTGTTTGTTTACAGGAGAGCTGGCAGATGACACAAACTGGTGTGAATGTCCCTGCTGGCCTGGGGTGCACCTTTGGGGGGCAGCAGCACAGGAGGGAGCACAGGGGTACAGGGGAAGCTGTGGGGATGAGGCTGTGTTTAATCCTTCCCTTTTCCTGAGCGTCATCCACTTCTTCCCTTCAGCTTTGTTGTTGTTTGGAGCTTTTTTACGCCTGGTCAGCTTTGTTTAGGGGTTTGTGTTGCTCTGGATCTCTTGGCTCTTGCTGCCAACTGGGCACTGAGTCCCTCTGCATGGAAATGAAAGAATCTGGCAGTTCTTTGTTCCAGCACCTGCTCTCAGGAAACAGCTCCCTCCCGAGTCCCTGCCACAGACCTCCCTCACTGGCCTCCCCAGGAGCAGAGCTGATGCTTCCTGGCCAGATTTGTGCCAGCTTGGGCCTGTAGGAGCACTAGAGCACTGTAATAGTTGTATTCTTTTCTAACCATCCGATGGGTAGCAAACAGAAGCTTAAGCTCCAGTCTTCTGCCTTCTTCTCAGGTGGGATCTCTTAATGTGAAATGCCTCAGTACGCCGTGTCACACTTCTGGACACATCTGTTATTATGTGACTAAGCCAAATAGCTCCGAGCCACCTGCAGTTTTTACAGGTGAGGAGTTGGGAGGTTCCCTTGCAAAGACAGAAGCCCCCTCCCTCTGCCTGGGTGCCTCTGAGTCTGGCTGTGCACCCAGCCCTTCCTGCCAGCGCAGCTGCTTTAAAACATCCACGTCTTGCCCCCCTTGCCGAGTAGGAGTTGTAGGTGGAACTGGTGAAACCCCTCTGGGTTTGGAAACCAGGGCAAACGGCATCAGGAGTGAGTTTCTTCCTTGAAACAAAGAGCTGCTGGTTTCCTGTCCCAGGCCAAACTGGCTGATCCCAGAACCTGTTGCTTTTCCATATATCTGTACTCGTGTCTGTAACAAAACTGAGGGAGGAGCAGATAGAGGAGTAAGGAGGGCTGGTGCTCCACTGCTGGTAGCCAGGGTCCAGATCCTGGTGTGGGGGGCAGGGTGCCCCTTCCCTGAGGCTGTGCCCAGTCTCCCCAGACTCCAGGTCATCCCTGTGCTGCTGGGTGTTCTCCAGAGCTTGCACCAGCTGCTGCCTGGAAGATGTAATGGCTTAAGCAAGATTTTAGGGAGCACTGGGGAGAAATGCAGAGGTGACTCATCTTTGTTCAGCTGCATAGCAAAGAGCGAGTTCCTCGTCTGCTCCAGAAGGGACAGGAGGGGACAGCAGGCTGCCCACAGCTGGGGAGGTGCTGGCAGGGTGTGCCTGGCCAGGCTGTGGGGTTTTTGTGCCTTAGAAACCGCGTTTGCCACGTGGGTTTTTGTGGCACTGAGCCCGTGTGGGGCAGCCTGGCTGTGCCTGTGCCTTCTGCTGCTGTGGTGGGTGCAGCAAAGGCAGGACTGAGCCCTGGGGGACCCTGTGCCCAGGCTGTGCTGTGAGCAGCCTGGGGTGGGTCTGATGCCACATCCCCCTCCCTGGCAGGTGACACCCTGTTCGTGGCTGGCTGTGGGAAGTTCTTCGAGGGAACCCCGGAGGAGATGTACAAGGCACTGATCGAGATTCTGGGCAGCTTGGACCCCAGAACGGTAGGAACTCTCCTGGTGTGGGAGTTAACCAGCCAGAAACCACCACAGGCAGCAAAGAAACTGCCTTCCCAACAGTACTGCTGTTCAAAGGGAGATTTTCCCCTGTGTGGAAGAAATGACATGGGGAGTTGTCTTTGATGGAGTCCTCTGGGAAGGAAGTGCCTGCCCCAAATGTGGGGAAAGAGCAGGGGCTGCTGATTGAAGGCTCTTGAGCTGGGACATGGGGCTCTTTCATCTGTTGAACTGGCGGGTAGTCCTGGCTGGTGGCTCCTGGCACTTGTCCCGTGCACGTCTCCAGTGGGAAGTGCCACGTGCCCTCAGGTTGACTTGGTTGTTCCTGCTGCCCCATTACACTGGTGGTGGCACCTGGCACTGCTCCTTTGTACCTTCAGAGTAACCCAGTGTCACCTTTCCTTCCCTTCCCTTCGCAGAGGGTTTACTGTGGGCACGAATACACCATCAACAACCTCAAGTTTGCTCGGCACGTTGAACCCAACAATGCCAATATCCACGAGAAGCTGGCGTGGGCCAAGGTGAGCTGGGTCACCCTTTCCCTGGACCCGATGGTTTTGTGGAGGAAGAGCCTTGCTGAGGAGGTGGGGGAGATGGGACAGTGCTGGGGAGAAAGAGGGGTGGGAGTTGAGAGACAGGAGCTGTGGGATGTTGTGTTCCAAGGAGCAGGGCCTGGCTGTGCCCAGAGAAGGTAGCTTGCTGTCTGGTGGAGATGTGGCCCTCCTTGAAAACTTCCTGCTGTGCACAGGACATTCCTTGCTCACCAAACATTCCCTGTTGCAGGCACAGTACGACAGTGGAGAGCCCACCATCCCCTCCACCCTCGCAGAGGAGTTCACCTACAACCCCTTCATGAGAGTGAGGTGTGGAGGGGGCGTGGGGGTGGGATTGTCCTTGTGTTGGGGATGTGGGAAGGTCTCCAAAGAAAGAGCCATAAGTGGGAATTGTTTCCTGCCTCTCATATTCCTGTTTGGATGCCTCCAAGACCCTCCTTAATACACCCTGGCCGTGCTGGCAGAAGCTCGTTGGGTTTGAGGGCTGTGCTGAGCATCCATCCCTGTCTCAGGGGGCACAACAAGCTCTGTTGTGATTTTTTTCCCCCCTGTCCTGCTCTTCCCTCGTGGCAGGGAGAAGACAGTCCAGCAGCACGCGGGGGAGACCGACCCCATCCGCACCATGGGGGCCATCAGGAAGGAGAAGGACAATTTCCGAGTGCCGCGGGACTGAGCACCGCCCGCCGACCCCGCCAGCGCTTCGACCCTTCACCTGCCCTAGGAGTCAAACCTTCTGTTGTGATTGAGACAGTCCTGTCTAGGTTTTTATTTTGTTTTAATTGAGGAGGAGAAAAGCACTTTGCCCCCTTGTTGAGATGTTCTATGGCATATTTATATTATGGTGAAGAATATTTATGGCTCTCTTTGCTGTCTCTCGAGCTGTCACCTGCAGATCGTTGCACCAGTGGTGGTGGTGTGAGGCTCTGAGGTTGGGCTGGCAAGGATCAAACCTGGAGGTTTAGGAAGAAGCTCCTGTTAGTTTTGGAGGAGCCTGATGTGGATGCAGACAGTGGGACTGGGGCTGAGGTGCCTTTGTGTAAAGCAGAGACCAAACACAGTAGTTGAGGAGTTGAGTGTTTCTTCCACGCTGCTGCTGCTGCTGCTGCAACGTCCTGAGTGTCGCTTCTGGCCCCACTAAAACCAGTTCCCAGTGACAGACCTGCTGTGCCACATCAGGGTGGCACACTTCTGTTTCTTGCTGTCCATAGGGCTAAAAGCCATCCCTGCCCACAGGCAGGGTGTTAGAACTGGGTCATCTTTATGATCCTTTCCACCCTAAACCATTCCAGGGTCGTATGACTAGAGCTGTGTGACCCCAGCTTGGAAACTGCAGGGAGGGAGCTCCCCTTGGGCTGCTTTTCCAGCAGGGAATAGTGTGTCCAAGTGGATGAATGGGGTGAATTTTGGAGGGAAATAAATGCAGGTTTATGGTGATTGGGTCTTCCCCTCCTGCATTCCCGTCCTCCAGCTTGGGGTCTTTAAATAAGAGATGTGAGTGACAGGGTGGGACCAGCCCCATGTGGCATTGGCATCTTTTATCCATCTTCCTCCTCATTTTCTTTTCTTCCTGGTTCCTTGGTCTCCTCTGTACCACAGACCTACTCCAGGACCAGAGATTGTTTCAAACAAATGTTTTGCAGATGAAACTTTGAAAAGATTCAGATGATTTTGGTGTCTGTTTCTCCCCCTCTCCCTGGCACACGTTGGTAGGTGATGCCACGCTGGAGCCTGGAACCACCTGGGTGTCACCTGTGTCCCTGTGCCTGCTGTTCCAACACCTCCTGCATGGCATTGTATGAGCACCAGGTCTTTATTTGCTTTAAAATGCTAAATTTTATGTAAATTCAGAATGAAAAGTGGTACTTGAAGCTTTGCTGCCTCCCGAACTGGAATGTTGTGCTGCTACACTGGAGTGGCTGTGACAGAGGAGAAATAAATAACGGCTGGAAATGGAGCTGTTTGGGGGTTCTTTAGCCCCCAGATTTATGAATTGATTTATTTTGTGCAAGTGACTGAAGCCAAACAACTGGGAGCGTCTTTCTACCTAATCCTGGGGTGAGCAGGTGGCATTTTGGGATCCTCTGGGGCTTTATTAGAGGTCTTGTGACAAGTGTACTTTCTCGTGAAAGGAGAAGGGAGCAGGAGGGGGGAGCCAGGGGGGGTCGGGCTCTGCTCCCAGGGAACAAGGGACAGGAGGAGAGGGAACGGCCTCAAGCCATGCCAGGAGAGGCTCAGGTTGGATAGTGGGGAAATTCCTTCACAGAAAGGACTGTCCAGCCCTGGCACAGCTGCCCAGGGCAGGGCTGGAGTCCCCATCCCTGGAGGGGCTGTGGGTCCGTGGGACCCCAGGCTGATGCAAGAGGGGGGTTGTCACCGTGGGAGGTTCCCTTTTCCCCTTCCTTTCCCGGCGCGGCGCTGCGGGATCCGCGCCGCGTGTGTGCGGTGTGTGCGTGGAAGGGCTCTCCCCGCCCCACGCTGCGTGATCCGCCCCGCACCGCACCGGCGGGGGCGGGACGCGCCGCCCGCCCCGCCCGCAGGTACCGCCGCGTCCCGCGGGGGCTCCGGGGGTCGGCGGGGGCCGGGCGGGGGTCCCGCACCCCCCTTTTGCTGCAGCATCTCCCCCCCACACACACACCCCGCTCTGCTGCCGCGCCCCCCCCGCGGCCGTGCCGGTGCGGGACCATGAAGGTGAAGGTGATCTCGGTGCTGGAGGACAACTACATGTACCTGGTGATCGAGGAGAGCACCCGCGACGCCATCGCCGTGGACGCCGCGGTCCCCAAAAGGGTGAGATGCGCTTGGACAGCCCCCCCCCCCCTCCCGGGTGGGCTGCGGGTCCCACGCGGGGGACGTGCCCGTGGGACAGCGGGCTGTATCCGTGGCCATCCCACTGGCAGGACCGGCCCCCTTCATCCCTGGTGGAACGTGAAGGGTGCTGGACCCCTGTCCCACCCACGCCCGGGCTGCGGGGGGATTCCCGTGTGGCCGTGCCCGTGCCGGAGCTGGAGCCCACGGCGCGTGGGAATAACCCGGGATAAACCTTTGGAGCGCTCCTCCCGTGCCCAGTGCCGCGTTCCGGGAGCTGCGGGGATGGCAGTGCCCGGGGTCTCTGTGACCCCCCGTGCCCCTCTGTGCCCGGGCTGTTGCGCATCGTGCAAACGCTGTCGCGGTTTTTAAGCGTTCGGTGCTGACTCGGACGTTTCCTTCCTCTCCGAGGAGCTAATCGGGAGCTGCCGGGAGCTGCTTGTTCCTGGCCCTGAATGTTAAGTTGGCATCAGGAGCAGCCTGCTGGCAGCCGGGCCGGGCTTGGCAGCCCCGCGTGGCCCCTCGCCCGGCCAGGGTGGGTTGCGAGGCCACCATTTCCCCGCGCGGCTCCTCTGTGGGATCGCTGGCCGTAAAATGCCACCGCTCCCCACGGGAGCAGCGTGTTCCCACCCACCTGCTCCGCTCTGGGTCGAGCCTTCACCCCCACCTCAGCCCCCCCGTGGCTGCTCAGCAGGTGGTTTTGGGTGATTCCTGGTGCCCTGCTCAGCTGGGTCAGACAGGTCCTACAGTGGCTGTCCCAGCCACGGGTGGGTCACCTCCTCTGCCCACTCACATCCCACTGCACCGGCTCCCTTTCAGTTGCTGGAGATCGTCAGGAAGGAGGACGTGGTGCTCAGGGCCATCCTCACCACCCACCACCACTGGTAAGTGTGGCCCGGTCGGGGTGGCCGTGGCCTTTCCCGTTCCCTTCCCTGAGCTCCCGTTCCCTGCTCTGCTGGCACAGGGACCACGCGAGGGGCAACGAGGAGCTGGCGCGGCTGTGCCCGGGGCTCAGGGTGTTCGGGGCCGACCAGCGCATCGGGGCCCTCACGGACACGGTGACACACGGCCAGGAGCTCACGGTGCGTGGCCACGGGACCGTGGGAGCGTTTGGGGCTCAGAACCCTACACGGGTCCTGCCTGGTGGGGTGGCTGGGGCTGGCACGGTGTGGTGCCACCCAGGCCTTATCCAGAGCACCACTGTCACCTCTGCGACCCGCTGAGGTGATGCCAAGGGGTCTGTTTGTCCCCTCAGTGGGATCCTGACCCTTCTCCCCCCACAGTTCGGGGCCATCCGGGTGAGGTGCCTCTTCACCCCCTGCCACACCTCAGGCCACATGTGCTACTTCATGTGGGAGGACGATTCCCCGGATGCTCCCGCTCTCTTCTCAGGTATCCCACCTGCCCACGTGTCCCCCGTGGGTCCTGGAGACACGGGACACACTCCCTGTGTGCTCCTGTCCCCCCATACCTGGCACTCACGGGGTGAATCTGGAGTGTGGGGCACCCCTGGCACCCCTCCCTGGGCACGGGGCTGGGGTCCCCTCCGTGCCCAGAGCCCTTTCCCACAGGTGACACCCTGTTCGTGGGAGGCTGTGGGCAGTTCTTCGAGGGGACAGCGGAGCAGATGTTCACGAACCTCACCCAGATCCTGGGGGCTCTGCCCAAGGACACGGTGAGTGCCACAGCCCAGCCCCCCTGGGAGGGACCCCGCAGTCAGGAGGGGCTGGGGGCTGGCACAGTGGCGGGGATGGGTTGGATCCAGCCCCTGGAGCAGGTTTGACGCCGGGTCCTTCCCGCTGGGTCCACAGAAGGTGTTCTGTGGCCACGAATGCACCGTCCGCAACCTCAAATTCGCCCTGAAAGTGGAGCCGGAGAATGAAATGGTGAAGGAGAAACTCGCCTGGGCCAAGGTAAGTGGCCGTGCCCCCCGGGCTGGGGCCCAGGGATGTCGGATGCCAGCGGGATTCTGGATGTCTCTGGTCCCTTGGCAGCAGCGGGATGAGGAGGACCTGCCCACGGTGCCCTCGACGCTGCAGGAGGAGTTTCTCTACAACCCCTTCCTGAGGATCATGTAAGCAGTGCCAGTGCCTGGGGGGGGTGAAGGGCCCCAAAATCCACTCCCCTGTTCCCTCCAGCAACATCCCCTCTTCCAGGAGCTTCACTAACCGGTGGGAATCCCAAACCCTGGGGAAGGGGAGGGAGCCTGGACGTGACATGGGGTCCCACCCACTGCCCAGCACAGGGCCCGTGTGCCCAGCAGTGCCTGGCACCGGGATGGGGCTCTGTGGGTGGGGCAGGGGTCCCGTCCTGCCCCCCAGTGCCCAGCAGAGCCGCTGTCCCTGCAGGGAGGAGCCCGTGCAGAGGTTCACGGGCCAGACAGACCCCGTGGAGGTGCTGAGGACGCTCCGCACCGAGAGGGACAACTTCAAGAAGCCCAAGGAGAGGCCCAACCCCCCGGCCATGCTGGCCTTCGACTGGGGGCTCTTCAGCCCCTTCCTCGAGAAGAAGTGACGTCCCTGCCGTGCTGGGGGTCCCTCCTGGCTGTGCCCAGCCTGGACTCGCTCCCAGCTGGGAGCTGGTGTTTGTCTTTAACCCGCTCTTTGAGGCTGCTCTGTTCTGCTCTGCTCTGCTCTCCAGCTCTGTGTGTGGCTCCCGGGGCAGTCCCTGGGGAGCAGGAGCACGTGAGAGAGCCCAGGCTGTGGTGACCCCCCTGCTGCTGCTGGCAGAGGGTCAGGAGGTGTTTTGGACACAGGAGATCCCGTCCCACAGCCCCGTTCCCGTGGAAGGGAGCAAAGGAAAAGCGTGGGAAAGGGGGGATGCTCAGGGACTGTGGTGCTGTAACCCAGCAGGCTGTCAGGCTCTCCTGCCTGTCCTCCTGCCAGGCCTGGGGGCTGCATCCCATTCCCAGGGGATTGTCTGAAGCAGCCACGTCTCTCTGGAGCCCCTGGGCCCCTGCCAGGCCCGGGATGGGCAGGGATGAGGCACAGAGGCTTGGAGAGCCAAGGGGAGCTGGGAGTGACTGGTGTCACTGGTGTCCGTGGTACCTACCCAGCTGCAGCCCTGCCCTGACAGACACCCTCAGCACAGCGGGGTTTGGGGGGGTTTTCCCCCTTTTCCCCTGTTTTTCTAGTGGGATTTGTAACAGTCGCTGCCTTCAGGAGCCACTGGAAGCCCTCAGCCCACGTGGGGGGTGCTCAGTGGAGTCCAGGAATGCCCCAACCCCCTGGATTTGCGAGAGGCTTTCCAAGGGCTGACAGATTTTAGGCTGCCACACGTCCATTGCTTTTTTCTTCCACTGGAAACCACTCGGCTGCAACTGCACAGACATTGCCTTGCCTTCACTCCACCAGCCAGGGGGCAGCTCCCAGGCCTCCTCAGCCTCCAGTTTGTGCAACATCAGGGCTGTATTTGAGGTTTTTTTTTTTTAGATCTGAGAAATGTGCAGAGTTTTGTTTGCAGCTGGGGGGAGGCACATTGGCCTAGTAAAGCAATTTTTGTGGAGAAAATTTGGGGTTTGATGGCAGCTCCCAGCACTGGAATGGAGTTGATTTCAGGGTCTTTCATGTGTGGACTGTGAACTGGAGCTTGGTTTGAGGCTGTTCCTTCCCTGGCTGCAAACTGGGCTGAGGTTTTTCTTTTTTGCCTTTTATTAATAGTTTAGATTTACTCTCGCTGGTGGGAGGGGAGGGATTCATCTGCTGCTCGAGCTGCCTTGGTCCTGCTGCCTCAGAATTCCTCAGTTCACTGAAATGGTGGAGTTGTAGATGGGTGTTCCTCGGGAATTCTGTTTGCCCTGGGAGCAGGGATGCACCACTCTGACCTGCCCCTGAGCTCCTGGGGCCACAGAGCCAGGGCTGGGAGAAATTCCAGCTGCTCTGGGTGCCATGGCAGGAACAGCCACCTGGAACACCCAGGGACAGGAATCCGGGGGGTGTTCCGGGTGACTTTTGTGATCTGTGTGTTGGCAGCCTGGGAACTGGGGAGGACACAAAGTGTGCAGCCCTGATTACTTAATTTACAGCTGATTGAGCCTAATTTATTGTGCATTTCTGGCCTGACGTGCATGTGCTCAGCAGACACAGCTTCCTCTGCACCCCCAGCACCCCAGGCTGGCTCTGTGGGAGCACTGGAGCCTCTCCCTGGCCATGGAATTTTAGGGTTCAGCCAAAGCCTGGGTGCTGAGGACCCCTGAAACCACCACCTTGCTCGTCAGGAGGGTGTGGGGAGGGGGGAGGCAGTGGGAGATTCTTGCCTTAGAACACTGTGAATTCACTTGGACTGATCAACACCTGAAAAATGCAAAGCTTTTAATTAAAACCGTTAAAAATGTGATTTGCACCGTTGGTTTGCTTTGGGCAAGGAGCAGAGGGGGCTCTGAGGACACACAGGCAGGTGAAGGTTCCTTCCAGCCCCGAGGTCAAGGTCTGTAACTGAGGGAGGGTCAGTGCTGATTTCAGGATTTCAGGAGGGATTTCCTCATGGAAAAGGGTTTGGAAGGGAGGTTTGGAGTCCCCAGCCCTGGAGGTGTCCAAGGAAAGCCTGGCTGTGGCACTCAGTGCTCTGGGCTGGGGGAACAGGGGGGACTCCATGGGCTGGGAGGGCTTTTCCAACCTCTGGGATTCTGGAATTCTGTGCCCAGGGTATGGACACAGATCGGCCTGGGCTGGATACGGAGAGAGATGTGATTGCCCACAGTACAGATAATTATTATTATAATGAAAGGAAACAAAATCCCAAGGTTTCTCTTCAACATTCATTGCAGTCCCATCTCACAGGAAGCAAAGCAGCCCCAGAGCTGCTCCCAGGCTGCTGGAACCCTCCTGAGGGCACAGAACCTGCAGCTGCCCCCCGGGGCAGAGAAATGTAGAACCCCAAGGCCTAATTAGGCCATTTCTAATTAAATGAGGATGTTCCAGCAGAGGCAGCCATAACAGTGGGTGCTGTGCCAATGCTGCAAGGCCTGGATGAGGAATATTGTGCTGTGGGATAAACCCATCCCAGAGAGGCCGAATCCTGCCCTGAGCCACATCCCTTGGCACCTTAAATTCATCACTTCTGGTAGGAATAGGGTGGCAAAGGGAGGGCAGATTCAGCCCATGGAGACTGTGCAGAGGCTGGGATGCATTTCTGCTTCTTTCAACATGAGTTTTAAGTCGGTGTTTGGGTTTTATTTACATCACTTCAATAGTTATTAGGCTGAAGGAATTATGAGTGGTGGGCTCCATGACCATTCCCATCTTCTCCTTCCCAGAGGCAGGAATTTCACAGAACTTCAGCTGTCCTTGGAGAATCATAAATAGATCTGGGGTTCAAAAGGCACTGAGGGAGTGTCTCTGGGCTGGCCAGTGTTCACCACTTGATGTTGAGGCCCGTGTTTGCTTTCTCCACGGGGTGATACTCCGTGTGCAGCGTTCCCACAGCCTTCTCCGAGTCCCTGCCCCCCAGCCAGTGCTCGTAGAGCTCAGCCACAGCCTGGTTCTCCTCTGGAATCTCGGCCTTTGGCGACTCATACAGCCTCTCCACGTGCTGCAGCCTGTCCTTGGGTTCCCCCTCCAGCTTGATCTGCCCTCCTCCGTTCAAACAACCTGCGGCGACAACGGGGGGAAAGCGAGGGGAGAAGGGACTTGAGCTTCAGCAAGAAAATCCCAACGAAAAACTACAGTTAATGTACTCTGCAGACACTTACAGAACTGCAAACACCAGCAGAAGGGAGGTTTACTCCCAGTTATCTCCCAGCAGCAGGGCCACAGGGCAGGGAGATCTTGGCTGTGCCTGTGGCCAGCTGGGAACGCGCCAGGAGCTCCAGCCCTTATCTCCCACCTCCAGAAAAGGGTCAGAGCACACTCCAGGTGAATCCAGGCCTGGAGCCACAGCTTTGGAGCAAGGGAAAGGTGCCTGGGATGTGCTCTGGGGTGCTGGGGGCTGAGCTGTGCAGTGACAGGCTGCCCAGAGCAGTGTCAGGCGCTGGGGCTGTGCAGACCCTCGGGAGGGAGCCTCCAAGTGGCTTCCAAGTGCCAAAAGTGGCCCCTTGGCATCAGCCCAGGCTGGGATCAAGCTGCCCCTGCTCCCTGCTGGCTGATTCCAAGAGAGCCAGGAGGGAGGGAAAGGAAACTAAGTGGAAAATGGGATAAAACAGGGAGGCAGAGAATTTCTCCACCAGTCACAGCAACATTTTCTGAAAGTGTAACGGTCAGTTCTGTGCAATTTTAGGGGAAAAAATCCCCTCAGGTACCAAAGAAAACTCAGGAAACCCTCCTTCAAAGCAGTGCAGCCCTGACAGCCCCACCTGAGGGACAGGCCATGACCTCCACGTAGTGATAGGGCGACTTCCCCCGTTTCAGCTTCTGCACCAGGTTCTGGATGTTCCGAAATCCGTAAGCCAGAGCAAACTGGAGCAGCACTTCCCCATCCCTCTGCAGAGTCACCTCCTGGAAGTCCTTGTTTCTGAGGAACCAGAGCAGAGGAAATGTCTTACCCAAATGAACTTCTATTTTAAACTTCAAAGGGCCCTGAGCTAAACCCAAGTTCTCTGTGGATCTTAATTAAGAGCTGTCCTAGTTCTTTGCCACCCAAACAAAATATGAAGGAACTCCTCCCAGATCCTTCTCCGGGCTTGTTTGAGGAGCTGCCACCTGAGCAGAGTTTGCTGAAGGGCACCTGTGCTGAATAAATCCTGAAAAGCTCAGCAAATGGAGCCTTTCACTGTGACAGACCTGAAGCCACTGAGGGAATTTTTAACTTGCAATGGACCATAAAACCAGGGAGCAAACCAAGACTGAAGGATTCCAGACTCCAAAGGTTAGTGGGAATACCTGTTCCTGATAAAAAAAGTAAGTAATTTGGTTTTTATCACGTATTTCATATCAGGACTGTTTCTTCTGCTTCCTGGACCAGGGAATCCTGAACATAAATGTTGCTCATCAGGGATACAACTAATTACAAATGATACATTAAGTTAGAACTGGGAAGGTAGAATTCTGGAACCTCAGGTGAATGTGCCTCAATGCCCAAACTCATGTGACTTGTTTTCTGTCTCACTGTAGAGTAAACAGAGCCCCAAAGCCCTCACACAAGGGTTTTTTTTTTCCTGTGATCAATAATTAGTGGACAGAATTCCAAAAAAACCCAGTGGTTTCTGTAGGATTTCCAGGTTCTTACTTGAGAGGTTTGTACTCAATGGTGTCCACGTGAATCCCAAAGAGCTCCTTGGCTGCGTGTCTGTAAATGTGCTCCAGGTACCCCCCCGAGCCCCCTCCAGGGTGGGTGCTGAGCTCCTCTGCTGCACTGCTGAGCCTGGGGGAGGGAGAGAGCAGCACCTTCAGGGGCACCTCTGGGAAAACAAACAGCCAACACAAACACAGAGGGCCAGGGGATTGAGGAACAGCAGAAGACACCACAAACCGGCTCCCTTTGAGCTCCAGCTTTTCCCTTTCTCTGGGAACCAGTTCATAACCCCAGAGACCAGCAGGTTTAACCCTGGAAACAGTGCCACAGGTTGTGGCTGCCCCACCCCTGAAGTGTCCAAGGCCAGGCTGGACAGGGCTTGGAGCGACCTGGGACAGTGGAAGGTGTCCCTGGGGGTGGCACTGGATGAGCTTTAA